GCTTAAACTTGAGCCCAAAGTGTCAACATTAGATCTTAAACTGCCTGTGATTCTAAGAGCTCAGGGAAATACAAAATAATACTCATCTCAAAAACATATAAAAGTGGGAGGAAAGCTCCTAAAGTACAGAGTCAGTGTTAAAAATCAACAACTGTGACCTATCCTGGCAAATACATACTCAGCTTGAGCATTACCATCCTTCCTGGAGGGGACACACGAATGTGCTACTTCTGACCGGATGCTAGAACAGGTATTTACAAAATCCTACAGTCCTCCCATGCAGCATCGTTGGGCACCAGTAACTCAGAACATAGGCTCTGTCATAACTTGCTATGTGGCTTTGGGCATCTGAAACTCAGTTTTCTGATCTATAAATTGGATAACAATATATAATATCTTTATTACTAGGAGGATGATAACACTACCTTTAATTCATAGGATAATTAGTAAGAATAAAATGAGATAAAGTATAGAAAACACATGGCATTGCCTGGCACTAATAAGCGTTCTACAAACATGAGCACTCATTACTACACCTTAGTCTTTTAAATGGGAGAGAAATCACTGTTTAGAATTTCACCTGTTTCAAGGCTGGTGATGAGACTTCTTGGGACCTCCCTCTATCAGCATAAGAGGAAAACACAACCAAAAACACCACTGAAGAATCACATCTCCCTATCTTTTACCATACACCAGAATAATACACCTTCCATGGACTTTACACATCATACTACTGATAAAAATGTGTATTACATTGAGTTTTAGAAGCAACAGAAAGATTTTAATCACATCATGTCATTAGTTGTGTGAACTTCAGTAAGGTATTTAATGTCTCTGACCCTGGTTTAGGGTTTCCTCAGTTGTAAACGTAAATGATAATAGTCCCTACCTCCTAAAGTTACTGTGGTGATTAAATAGCTCATATCTGTACAGTGGCAGGTATGGTAACTGAAACACTGCAGCCAGTATTATTTTTGCTCCTCTTATTAGAAAAAGGTAAAAGCTGCTCACCCCTCTAAAATCCTAGGGTTTTCATTTTAAAAACTGATGACCTTGAAAAAGATATGTAAACATACATGCTACCAGTAGCAGGCAATTTGAGTATATAAAAGCTGATGATACTTCCAAAGCACCGCAGAAATGTGTCTTTTTCACAGAAGATGAGAACTCTTAAAATAGGTCTTGTTTGTACACAACAGCTATCTATTTATTTGGAGTCATTCTGACAGAGACCCTATGGAAGTGGACTTTGCTCATAATATCTCATGATTTTAAATGGCACTACTCAGACTGTCGTGTATAAATGTCAATATGCAAGCTGTAGTGGAATGCAGATAGTTTTGACAATCACTGCCAAATAAGGTGTACTTTCAGTAGTTCTCATAAGAATATCAGTTTTCCCAAAAGAATACTAAGCTAGAAGCTACAGAAGTCTTTATTCTTTAGTAGTGGTGCCCTTAACGATAGACTGATAACCATAATTATGGTTCATTTCCTCAGCAGATATTTACTGAGTGCTCACTAAATCCCAGGCATTCACTATACCATGCCCAAGGAACCTAAGAGTATTTAACGGAGTACTTGGGCGGTGCCTGCCCTTAGAGATCTTACATTTAGAGGAAGAGACAGACTAGCAATTACAATGCTATAAGGGAAAAACACTGGGTGCTACAGAAGCACAGAGTAGTACATCTAACCGAAGGGGTGGAGGTGGGAGGAGAAGGTGGGGTGAGCCAGCAAAGATTACCTGGAGAAATTAACAAAGACGTAGGGGGAGGGTATAACTCAGTGGTAGAGTGCGTGCTTAGCGTGCACAAGGTCCTGGGTTCAATCCCAGCACTTCTGTCAAAAAGATAAATACATAAACCTAATTACCACCCCCCCAAACAACAACAACAACAAAGGTCTAAATCTAGGTGAGACAGGCTAAAGCAAATTTAAGTTTCTCTTAGTTCTAAAAGAATTCCTGTTTGGCTGAAGCATTCAGATTAAGGTGGGGCATAGGAATAAGACAGAAGGTATTTTATTTCTATTTTCATAAGATCATTTGAATTTTACAACTCTTCTGATCATCATACACAACCCTGCTACGTAAAGTGTGGTCCACAGACCAGCAACATTAGCAGAACTTAGGAAGGAGCCTATTAAAACTCAGTAAAAGATCAATACAGTTATAAGTACTATTAACTTTATCTTAGAGATGAAGCCAAGTAATTGGACAAGGTTACAGAGCTGGTAAATAATGAGGCCAGACATGAATCAAGGCACTCTGAATAAAAACCTATCCCTTTAATAACTGATGGTATTTCAAAACAAAAAACAAAAAAACTATCCCTTTAAATTTAAACTATTTTTTCCTAAAATCACTGAAATGAAGTAAGATCACAGTTACAAAATTATTTTTGAATCTAGCTTTTATTTCAAATAATGTAAAAATTTTAAACTTGTTAACTATAGCCTACTTTATTCACATTCCAAATATACTCCCGACAACAGATTTTTTGTCTGCCATTACATGATTCATCAATCTCAACTGTCTGAAACATACTGAGAACAAACAGGAACCCAAAAAAGGATGCAATGCAGATAAACTAGGGATAAAAAGTTTATGCATTACGTGTAATGCACATTTCCTAGATGAGAGCCCCTCAGAGACCAAGTGCCATATAAGGCACTGTCTTAAGCACTGAAACGGATACTAATATAAAAATGTAAAGTTCCTGCCCTAAAGTCCAAACCTACTAAGCAGGAAAATAAGACATCAAAAATACTATGGGGACACAGAAATGGGAGCAAGAAATTTCTGGAAGAGAGAGAGAAAAGCCTCAAAAGAGAGGTCATATTGAGGCCCCAAAGAGGTATGTCTTTAAAAGAAAATAACTGAACCAAGCAGAGACGGGAAAAGCACATTCTGCTAACAACAGGCACAGGGGTGAGAAAGCACAGGAAAAAGACTTCTATTTCTGACTGATGGAACACCATATATGAGACTTACCTTCACACTGTAAACAACTAAAAAAATCACACAAAGTTATATATGACAACAGTTTCAGACACTGGATAATGGGCAGGCTAGACAGTGATTTCTGAGAGAAAGGAAACAAGGTGAGCCCTATATCGCCCCACCTTACCGGGTGGGGAGTGTTTCCAGGCCACAACGCACAGAAAGTGGACAGAGGGTGGTTCAGGAGGTTCACACCATACACAAAAAGTAACCCCAAACAGATCACAGATGTAAATATAAGAACTAATATGATAAAAATGCCAGAAGAAAATAGGAGAAAATCTTAAGTGACCTTGGGTTAAGCGAAGATTTCTAAAATAAGACAAGGTGTATCTAAAAAGAAATGATGAATACACTCAAAAGACACTACTGAGACAAGGAGAAAAATATGTGAAGCACTTATCTGATAAATGACACGTATCTAGAGTATATAAAGAACTCTTAGACATCAATAATAAGAAAGTCTCCTGGCCCCTCAGGGGAAAAAAAAAACAGCCAAAAGATCTAAACATTTTACCAGAGAAAAGATACAGATAACAGATAAGCACAAGAAAATGTGTTCAACCTCATTTGTTACCAGAGAAACACAAATTAGAACCACAATAAGAAACAACTATGCATCCAGTAGGATAGCTAAAATGAAAAATGTTTGGATGTGGAGTAAATGGAACTTTCATATGTTGCTAGTGGGAAGGCCAAACAGCATCACAGTTTCATAAAGTTAAACACATTCTTACTATATACATTCAGCAATGCCACTCCTAGTTATTTAACCAAGACAACATGTCCACACAAGAACTTGTACTCAAAGTTCATAATAATTCAATACAGGAAACAAATCTAGCATAGAGGTAAATGTATAAACAAATTACATATACATACAGCAGAACAGTACTCAGTAATAAAAAGAAATTAATTCCTGATACATGTAACTGCAAATATTTCTTAAAACTGAACACAAAAGGCCTTCAATAGAAAAGACTGATAAAATGAAACTTGTGTTCATGTAAAGACATCATGAAAGAGTAAACTAGCAAGCAAAAGAATATATTTTAATGCATATTTCAAACAAAAAATTCATATCTATAATATATAAACAACTCTTATTAAAAAATTGTCAAACTAATAGAAAAAAAAAGGTGGGTGGTGGTGAGGGAGAGAGGCAAAAGACTTCAAAAGATGCTTCACAGAGGAGTGTATCCCAATAAGCAAGAACATATGAAATTGTGTTCAACTTCATCAGCCTTAAGGGGAGATCAAAATTAAAACTGCAAGGAGACTCTACAACATATCCACTCAGAAGGCTACAACACAAAGGACAGAAAGTACCAAACACTGACAAGGATGTAGGGAAAGAGATGTGATAACACTCCTGCTAGGTTTACTGCCAAAAAATGCATAAAAAATCTTCATTAAGAAACACATACTAGGATACTCCAGGAAGCATTACCTGTAATAAACCCAAACTAGAAATTAACAAAATGCCAAAAGTAAGGATAAATGAAGTCATGTTCATACAATGAATACAACTGGCAGTAAAAATAAACTAAGACTACATTACATGCAGGTAAGGGTAAATTCCACAAACACAACGTTGGACAAAAGCCAGGACACAGAATGTACATATCATATGATTCCATTTGTATAAAGTTCAAAATTATGCAAAGTCAATCTATGGTACAGTGAGTCAAGCTAGTGGTTAGTCTGGCTAAAGATTCCCTGAATAAAAAGGAACATGAAGCGGCTTCTAGGGTCCTTGTAATGCTGTTTCTTGATGGAGATTCTGCTTATGCAGGTATGTTCACTCTGAAAATCTGAAGTGTGTGTATGTGTATTTATATACATTTCTGTATGTATCAACTTCAAAATACTTCAAAAAATTTTTTTAATTGTATCAGTATATTTATACAAAGATGACTATTTGAGCCTATGGAGAAGAAGAAATGAAAATTACTGAATGTGAAGGTTAGGCTGTTTGTATGCTGTTTTTACTCACCTTTATCCTGTAATGCAATTTGTTGCTTATGCAGTAATGCCACCTCCCGTCCCAAAGCTTTCTTCTGTCTTTCCAATTCATTTCGAAGCACCAAAATTTTTAATTGCAGGCACTCACTTTCTTTTTTCTAAATAGTTAAAAGCACAGGTAAATTTATGAATAGAAAGTTATGAATCTGAGTAACTGAACATTCACAATGTTTTGAAATATTACTGATTCAGCACTTTAATACTCATGTAACTTATAGATCTTTTGAGTAACTTAATTAGTGGCACCTATCATTTTAATGGACCGAATACAGATGTAAGCAAAGAATAGAGTAGAAATGAATCTAAAATCTGGAAACAGTTCTTTCTAAAATCCAAAACACACTATAAAATATCTCAGGCCTCTTTCTTGACATCACAATACAAGACCCAAGACAAAAAATAATAGTAAAAAGGAAATGGAGAAAGAAAAGAAAATGTGGTGTGTGTGTGTGTGTCTACACATACACACA